CCAGAGTGCTTCATTTCTGCTTTTGTTTCCCTGGAGGAAGACTCACTCGAAAGCCTTCAGGCCTGTGACGGGAAGGGGTGTGGGTAAAGCCACACTCGGAGGCAAACACTGGGGCGCTGGCCCCGGCCACTGCGGTCCCCCAGGGCCTGCCTGAGAGTGGCCACACCAGACTTGGAGTTGGAGGGTCCTGATGGCCCACAAGGGACACAGGGGCTGGAGGCATGCATGTGGGGAGCGGCTGCCCCCGGGCTGGGCGGGAGGGGGCCACACCCAGCAGCGTGGCCATGGTGGTCCCTGGTGTGTGAGGTGGTGGGAAGGGGCAGCCCTGTCAGGGGTCTGCTTATGTCTGCCCAAGGCACTGAGCTGTGAGTGCACTGGGGGGTCGGGTGCTGAGGTCCTTGGTGATGGGTCACGGAGGGTGTCACAGCCCAGAGAGTGACTGTGCATCAGCTACTGCCCACCAGGCCTGGACCAGGGTGACCTGGGGGCACTGTGGCTCCTGACGCCGTCTTCCCTGAGACGATTGTTGGACTAAATATTGGGGCTCACTCGGGAGTCACAAGGAGGGGGAAGGGGCCTGGGAGGGCAGGATGCCGGGAGTGGGATGGGGGACGCCTCTCAGGTGGGGGCGGCTCAGGACTGGGTGTACGGGGGACGTAGTTAGCCACGGCACTGATGCAGGGACTTCCGGGAGCAGGCACTGGCCCATCTGAGCCTGACAACTGTCTGGAGGGGGAGGAACAAGGCTCCCATTTGACACTGTGGAAACTGAGGCAGAGACAGACTAGGCGTCTGCCCAAGGTGGACCCAGGTCAGGACATGAGGGCTGACTGCTTGGCAGGGACTGTCACCCTTCGGGGCCCTGCTGCATTCATCAGAGGGGACCCCATCCCCACCTCCTCACCTCCCAGACCAGAGGTATCTCCCATGCAGACGGGCCCCCAAAAGCACCTCTCTGTCCTCTGGGTCTAATCCTGGCTGTGTGACCTTGGGCAAGTAGCTTAACCTCTCTGTGCCTCAGGATTTTCAGCATGCCAAATGCGATGGGAATCCCTTTCTTCACAGATGGGATGGGAGGTCTAAGTGAGGGGGGACAAGGAGTCCCATAAACATCAGCCCCTCCTGGGGCTCAGGGCTGCAATGCTGCATGAGGGCTGCAGGTGAGGTCCTCGGGCTGCTGCAGGAGCTGCTCGGGGACTTCTTGGGGTAACGGCTTGTGGGTGTGTTCTCCATCAGGGAACTTCGGGGCACTAGTATCATTGATCGAGGCAGCCCTCTGGTATGGGCAGTGCAGCAACTTAACCTGGCGTCTGTGGTTGGGCTTAGGGTGCTGTGCATCCCCCAAATCTATGGGATAAATGTCATGTGTCTGGCCACTTTTAGGGGAAACCCTGGAAGTTCACAAGCTCAGCCAGTGCCGCCTCCAGACGGCGGCCAGGCAGCTAATGGCCAGCAGAGGGCGCTCGGCCCAAGGCTGTGAATGGCTGGAAGCAGGCTCAGAAGGCGTCTGGGCAGGAAGATGTCAGCTGTAACTTGGCTGGGACCCGGCTGGGCCATGGCTGGGCATCCTCCTCCTGCAGATGCCCTCTCCTACTACAGAAGCTGCTGGGGTCACAACCATTCGGCGGTCCATTTGTGCCCTGGTGTACCCAGCTGGGGAGCTTTGAAAATTATTCCTGCCCAGGTCCCGTCCTCAGAGACTGTCTTCAGTTGGTCTGGCGTGGGTCAGGACAGATGTCCCCAGGGCTGAGACTCACTGTGCAGGATCCCCTTTGACTTCCCCAATGGCCTCTGGGGAGGTGCTGTCCTCATTTGTACGCATTTTATAGTCAGGAGCTGAGGCTCAGAGGGGACGAGACTTACCCAAGGTCACACCCAGGGTGCCCCCAGGCGGTGACACTGAGCCCCAAGCACTCTCTTGCCTTCACGATATTCACAATGACAGCATCACCTCCGCACTGCTGATGTCCGGAGCTTGAGGATTTTCCAGGATTCAGGGCTGGCTGTCCAGCCCAGCAGAGTATGAGGCTGAAGGATGCCTGCCCACCCCCACCCCCCCAGTGCAAGGAGGTCCACACCCTAAGCCCCCTGAAGCTGTGAGCACAGCGCCCGGACAAGAAAAACTGGCTTTGTCGATGTAACCAAGCATTTTGAGAGAAGTGGGGTATTGGGGGTTGGCAGAATGGGCCCCAAACAATCACACAGGTCCTTCTAAAAGGTGAGGAGGAGGGAGGGAAAGAGGGAGAGACAGGATGGGAAGCAGCTGGGTTGGAGGAGGAGGGAGGGCCCAGCTGAGGCAGCTCCTGGAGCGGGCCTGCGGGGCGTTGGGTTCTGCCCTGGAGCCTCCGGGAGGAGCCGGTTCAGCCGACACCTGGACTTCCACCCAGACGCCCGAGCTGGGGCACGTCTCCTCCCGACTGTGAGAGAATAAGGCTGTGCTGCTCCACACTCTTCCTCGTGGCCATTTGTTACAGCTGCCGTGGGAAACCACCCCCTTCCCCTTCCTGCGTCCACCCATGACAGCCAGCCCTGTCTCCTGACTTGTCACATGTCAAGGATGTGGGTACAGTGGGCCTCGGGCAGGGGAACCACCGAACTAAAGTTATTCTTTACTGAGTTTTTCCCACGGGTGGCCTCGCCAGCTGCCTCCCCCACAGTCTCCTGTAACCCTCTTGGAAACCTGCCCCGAGGGGGCCCGATGGCCTCCCAGCTTGCTCTGCAGCAGAAGGCACAAGGTTTGGAAGTGGACAGCGGGGGTGGGCACACTCAGACAGGGAGGCCAGAGCTGGGACCCACCCCCAGGACCTCACGGCCTCTGTTCCAGGCCCGCGTGGGCACCCCCCACACTTCCCATGGGTGTCTGGGGCTGAGGCCGCTGTCCCTGGCCCCAGCACTCCTGGCTTGGGGGCCTTTTCCTGGCTGGGTTGCTTCTCCATCAGTCGAAGGAGACTTAGCTGATGGCAGCAAAGGCCAAAGGTTCCTGGGTGGGGGTGGGGCTGGAAATCGGTGAGTCACAAAAACTGGGGCCAGGCGGTGAGAGCCAGGCCGGTTGTTGAATCCGTAACAGCTTCTTCAGCAGCATGGTCAAGGGCACTGGCTTAGAAGCCGGGTGGCCTGGCTTCAAATTCTGTCTTTGTCCTTTGGACCTAACCTCCCCGAGCCTCAGTGTGCCTGTCCGGGGAATGGGCTCCTTAAGGATCCGCCGCACTTGCACCTCTGGTTTAGTTGCTTGGGAACCCTTATTTCCCAGGGTCTCTGCAGGAGGAGCACTCACAGAACGCAAATGCTGGTCAAGCCGTGTCTCTTTCACACCTGGTAAGTGGGTGGAGTTCTGGCTTCCTCCACTGAGTGGGACATGGGAGTCTGCTTCTGGGTGATGGGTTTACCATCAGGGCTGGAAAAATCTGGATCAGGATCTGGAAGGCTCAGGCCCCATCCTGGGCTTCCCTTATCATCATGGTCTAGTCATTTAGCCTCCCCTGGCCTTAGTATACTCATCTGCTTAAGGGGACGATGAAAGGATGCTTAGAAAACACTGGGTGCTCAGCAGGTCATCATGAGTCTAAACCCTCCACCCCCCAATTTAAGGGGGGGGACCTGGATTTGCTACAGCAAAAGACTCTTATCATCAAGACCATCGGAAGATGATGAATCCTGGGGTGGGTCGGAAGCTACTTTTCTCCCCAGTGAGGATGTAAGGTCTGGAGCCACAGCAGCCTCTTTGTCACCGCCAGAGCAGAACTCCTCGGGGTGGGAAGGTCTCCACATGAGAAATCTGAGTCTGCGGGAGGCCCCGCTGAGCCACGGAGACATAAGTGGCCACGTGGGTGGAGGTGCTAAAAGAGGCCTTACCTGAAGTCGGTTTGTTTCTGGGAGCCAAGGTGCATACACACAGTTTTTCTAGAAGCAGAAACTTCAACAGATATGCAATATGTCCACATACACTTCTTCACAAATTCATAAACCTACACTTGAAAATCTCAATCTCAGTTATATTTTCAAACCTCAATTTCATTTTTTTGCTTGAAATTTCATCCCCACGTTCACCGGGCCTCTTAACTCCAGGCCAGCCCGGCTGACTTACTGATTTTCTGTGCAGCCCAAGGCTCAGACTCCTCCCCTCCCACCCCCCCCAACCCCGCACTTTGCCCCATGGACATGCCCCTGTTTTAGGAGAGGGCGTCAACCTGCCTGTACCTGAGAAAGGGGCCGTGGAAAGGAAGCCCGTGAACCGTTCCACTGAAGAAGGTCCTCACAGGTTCTCAGTGAGAAAACCACAGGGGGACAGCAACGCCAGGCAGAAGGCTTTCCCTCCCCCTCCACATTGCAATGGTGCCATCCTGTCCTTTGAACGGTGGCAACATGATTTTTGGTGCACGGTCCTTCTTTGTTTAAACCCCGAAGGCTTCTCGGCATCTTCTCTTTGTCCCTGACGTTCCAAAGTTTCCTTAGAACAGGTGCCCTGGCCGAGGCTGAGCAGTCACCGTGCCAAGTGTCGGGGTGGGGGGGTTCCATCTACAAATTTACGATCTTTCTGTGGGGGACTTTTTTATTTGGGTTTAATAATTCATACCTTCTACTGTATCCATACTCTCTTATGAGATACAGGGCTGACTCAATCCTTCAGATTTCTCATTTATTGTCCATTTTACAAACAAATCTTTACTATCTTGGAAATTTTTCTCATTGTCCTCCAACTCTTTTATTGTTTTTTATTTTATTTCTTTTAATTTCAGCTTTCATATTTAAAATGTCGAGGAGCGTCTCCTCGTTCTCCTAAACTTTCTTTGAGCAAACTTTTTTTCCTGCTTCCTGTTCAAGCTGGCCTTGCCCCCTCAGAGGGTGTTAATGATGGAGCTTTTCTTCCGGCTCCAGCATTTTTCTCTAGTTCCTCATAATTCGTTCTTTTTTCTTTTTCTGTCTGACCTTCAAGTTGGAAGCTTTTTTCGTTTTTTTTTTTTTTTTAAAGATTTTATTTATTTATCTTTAGAGGGCAAGGGGGGAAGAAGAGAGGGACAGAAACATCAATGTATGGTTGCCTTTCATGCGTCCCCTGCTGGGAATTGGTCTGCAAGGAACTGGTCTGCAACCCAGGCATGTGCCCTGACTGGGAATCGAACCGCGATTTTTTGGTTCGCAGGCCCGTGCTCAATCCACTGAGCTACACCAGCCAGGGCTGGAAGCTTTTTTCAAATATCTTTTAAAATAAAATCCAATCTGAGTAGGGTTTTTCTGTGATTACAGGCTACTAATGACCCCGTCCCTGCCCACCATGCACACCCCTAATTTACAGCTGCCTGTGCCCACCAACTGCACCTGGTCCCCCAAACACGGGGTGAAAGAGGCAGAAGAGGGACAGATGCAGAGAGAGGGCTAAGTGACGGTGTGGACACAAATACACAGCGTGACTCAGCTCCATGTCTGTCCTGCCAATGAAGTGCTTTCTCTTTCTTTCAATAAGGAAAGCCCGTTGGAGCTTGGAGAATCCTGGGAAAACATGCCCACAGCCCTTCCCGAAGTGGACACCTGACATTTGCCCATCGGCACCCTTCCTTCTCCTTCCTGGGGAACAGGCGGGCGGATGACCTCACTTTCGAACCACGCGCGCAGTCGACCGGAGGACTCCACTCTCGCTGATTGGTTCCAGGATCAGCATGTGACGCATGCTCGACCAATCGGAATTCTCCCTGGGCCACATCCGCAGCAGTGTTTGCTTGGGAGTATTCTCTTTCTGCTTGGTTGCCAAGTCGGCAGGCCACAGCTTTGGGTGGCTGGTGGCCACAGAGAGAGGGAGGAATCAGAAGGATGGAGAGAATGGGGCTTAAAAATAACGCGTGAGCCCCGGGATCCAGCCAAATCAAGGGATACCCGAATCAAGCAAGGCATCCCTTGGTTTTCCAATTGCATGAGAGAATAGAGTCCGTTTTCCAAGCCTGGGTGATCCAAGTTTCAGCCACTCACAGCACACACACCCTTGAATTACTCCCTAGATTCCTTCTCCTGCTCTCAGTCTCTAATGTCATCTGTTTGCTGAATTCTCACAGGTGAGGAGCCCTGTTTGTGCTCACCTGAGACCCGTGGGGAAGCTGGGATGAGGAAAGAGAAGAGCCTTTGTGAGCAGATCATGGTGGTTTGGGAAAATCACTTCCTCAGTTCGGCCTGGGCCCTGCGGGCTGCCCGAGCAACCCTCCCATCAGCCCACCTCCTCTCGGCACCCCAAGGGTCCTGGGGGTCGCCCTGTCACTCTGCTCCTGGCCACCACAGACCCAGCTTTGGCCCAGCCCACGGGCTGACTCATGGTGGCCGCAGGTCAGGAGGCAAGAAGGTCAACAATGACGTTTATAGGACACGACCCACGGTATGGTGCAAGGGCTCACGGGCTCCACCAGTTCCCACCCACCTCTGTTCGAAGTATGTCCACCCTCAGACCCTTTGTCCTGGCCTCACCTCCCCCAGGACCCCATGCTGGGTCAGTCCAAGGGGCCATCTTCTGTGGCATCTGGGCCCCTGCTTTCAAGAGTCAGAGCTTCCAGGTGGGCAGTGATGGTGGCCATGTTGGAGCCAGCCTGACGACCCTCCTGAGGGATCTTGCTGCTGGGCTCTGCAGCTTCGGACTGAGGAGCTGGGGGAGAGACAGTGCCGGAGAGACGCGTGAGCCCGCTCGTCTCCAAAACCACGGCGATTTGGTTCACTGGGGCCCCAGGCCACTGTCCCCCGACACAGGTCTGGCCACGCCCTTTCTAACCTGGGCCTTTGCAGTAGCCACCTGCTCCTCCACGCCCCCCTTCCCACTCTGTTCTGCCCCCAAATCGTCTTCATGGAGACCCTGAAACTGCACACCGCAGGGTCACCCTGCTTCAGACCCTGCAGAGACGCCCCAGCTCACTTCAGATGAGACCCCAGGGCTTCTCTTTCCCTGGGCTTCCCTGCTCTGAGGGACTCTAGCCGCCGCCCACCCCCCATCCATTCTCTCCCTCCTACAAGCTGAAGAGCTTACCCTGTTCCCACCTCAGGGCCTTTGCACCTGCCTCGGAGCCCCCAGACTTTTGTTGGGCTGGCTCAGGTGCCCCCTCCTCCCAGAGCCCCCTCTGTTGCCCGGCGAGGGCAGGTCCTCCCACCACGGCACTGCCCGCTGTGCCGGGCTTTATGGTTTTGCGCAGCGCTGGCCTTTCTTTGGAAGGCTCATTGCTCTGTGAGTTGTCTGCACTGCCTGCTGGACTCTGATTCCCACGGGCGGGAACAGTTATCTGTCTTGCTCGGGACTGTCTCCTCGGTGAGGGAGCATTTGGGGCGAGAGCAGCAAGAGTCAGTGGGGGCACGAAGGAACCGCATCTTCCTCACACATGAAACAGGGAGGAAGGTGGTTACAATGTCATATCTTGGCCAAACTCAGGGGACTGAGTGACTAAGGGTGGTGGGAGAGCAGAGAGGAGAGGTATCATGTTCTAGAAGGTCATGTTCCAAGGAGGGGCAACGGCACAGGTGTGTGGCCCGAGCGGGCTGTTTTCATCAACCTTGTCTTACAGGCGGAGACTCGGGCTCGGTGCTCAGGGGCGGGTTGGGTCTTGGGCTACAAAGATCCGACCCTACGCCCTCTGACACCCTCTTTACTGTGACGCTCCACTACCTGCCGGACTCTGGGGAGTGGGAGGCTTGTGCCTGCCTGCTGAATGAATGGACGGATAAGTGAATGAGAGGCAGAGAGAACTTCCGGAGGCCCCACCACGCCCCAGGCTCACCTTTACCGTCTGCCGGCTCCCCAGCCGGCTCCCTGGAGTCCCAGCTGCTGTCCTCCAGCCCTGCCCCTCCTCCTGGGCCAGCCTCTCCCCGGCCGACGCGCATCCTGTTGCTGTTGCCGATGGTGGCGTCCTCCAGGAGGCAGGACTTCATGAGGACCCTCTGGGTCATGTCCCCGTCCCCCTCGGTCTGAGGTTCCAGTGTGGGCATTCGAATTTCGAACGAAGCTTCTGGGTCAGCAGTGGTGGCAGAGACTGTGGGTCCGTGGACAAGAGAGGCCGGGTGGGATGTGAACAGCTGGGCAGGGCCCAGAGGAAGACCCCCCAGCCCGGCCTTCAAGCCTCCCAGGCACCTCCCAGGCACCTCTGCACTCACCGTTCACCTGCCTGCCCACCCGGGGCTGCAGGCTTTCCGTTCCCCGCCCCCCCCCCAGGTCAGCCAGCTTGGGTCTCACCTCCTCCCGCCACCAGGCTGCCCAGCTGGCCTGTCCCTCCAGGCCGTGCCCCGGACTCAACCACCTCCACTCCCCGCCTCCTGCCCCTCCTCCCTTCCTGTGGGCTGCCCAGCAGCTCGAGAATGATGTCCCCAACTGTGGTTCAAATCTGGTCAGTCCCCCAGCCCAGTCCCCAGCTGTCCTGCTCCTGCCTGTCCCACCCAAACTTGGAAAAGACTTGTCCACGCTCAGTCTCGCCTCCTCCCATGCCCCGTGCTCCTTCTGCCCCCTCAGGCCACCACTGACCCCTTGCTTCTGGGCCTCACAGAGCTCCCCCGACTGTGCAGGCCTCCCCTCTCCCAGAAACCGCATCCCACCTTTCCCCTCCCTCTCCCGGCTCTCTCCCCCAGCCTGTTCCTGGATTACCAGTGACAGGGAGGACGCAGCCCAGGCCCTCTGGTCTCCCTCGACAGTGCTTAGCAGGGCACCAGGTCCTGGGGTGGCTCCTGTCCTCTGCCCTCCGTAGATGCCCCTGCAGTTAGCCATCCCCTTTGACTCTGCTTCAGCTGGCCCGGCCCCTGCGGCGGCATGCCCACGGTACAGATGAAAACCCCGCGGCTTCCCGAGAGTTGCAGGAGGGCTGGGAGCCCGAGCACTAGCTCTAAAAGCCCCACTGCTCCACTCTGTGGTACATCCTCTGGTGGATGAAAAGGAATTTCCCATCATGCCTCTCTGCCTGCGAATGTGAGCTGAGGGTCCTTCCATCCAGTGAGGAGCCTGGCTGGGTGCTCACCTGGGGGGCTGACAGAGAAGCTGTTGACGGAAGGGCCGCGGTCGGGGCGTGTGGCCAGCGCATCGGGAAGGCTCATCTCATTGCCGTGTCCCAGCTGCACCCGTCTGAGGACAGACTTCTCTAAGTGGATGTCCTGGGAGCCCCAGGATGCAGCCAAGGGGTCCTGAGTTGAGGGATCAGCTGGTGCTGGTGGAGGGAGGCAGAGGGGCGCCATGGAGCCTGGCAGGAAACACAGCAACATGACCTGTGGCCTCTACCTTCTGACCTTCCCAACCCCTACACACACAAACTCCTGGCTGGACAGAGGAGACAGGCCTCTGATTTCTTCCTGGGCACCAATGGACGGGTGGTGGGCCCAGGAGGACATTCACGCAGGTTCCCTGGGGTCGTGCCCCTGGTGGCGGGGGTGTCACCCGGGCTCTCAGTATTCAAACAGTGAGCACGCCCTCTGCTTGCTAGTCATTGTCCGGCCCCTTGGGAGAGAGTCCCCTTTGGTGTTAACACATCCTTAAGGAGGGCTCTGGGCCTCCTCTATGGCTTTTCTCTTCTCAGTATTATTTTCGGTGACCTTCCTGGTTTCCAACATGAGGCAATGCTTTGCAAACTCACCGTAGTTTGCTGTGTAGAATGCGCACTTTTTTTTGCCCAAATTTTTGAGGGAAAAATAAGGGTGCGAATTATACACGGGCAGTGCTGATTCTGTATCTATATAAATGCTTCTAATTCTTTTATTTACACTTACGCATTCAAAGTGTAATGCTAAAAAGCAATCCATATGCAAAATAATATCCTGGAATACGATAACCTGTTTTGTTTCTAAATATAAATACATAAATAACTGAATTAAAAAATTAAAATGAAAGATTTTTTTCCTGAAAGTTTGGGCCAAAAACATGGGTGCATTACACGTGGCAAAACACGGAACTTTAAATTGAATTTGAGTGGAAGGAGAGGGGGGCTCTAACAGTGGGAGGTGGACAAGCAGACACGGGCCTGGCCAGAGCCAGGCAGCGGGGATCCGAGGGCTGACGTCAGGCAAACGTCGACCTAGATTCCAGAACAAAGTTCCTCATGTCACAGTTGGGAACGCGGATGCCCAGAGAGGAGAGGAGGTCTCTTGGGGTCACACGAAGTGTTCCCAGTTTTGGGCTGCTGTGCTCACTGGTGACCCCCAGGGGGACGGAGGGTGGCCCTGTGCCCTCTCACCATGGTGCCTGACAGGACGGTGTTTCATCAAAGCTAGGACGCCACTGTCCTGGCCAGGTGGCTTAGTCGGTCAGAGCACTGTCCCTGTATACCCAGAGGTCACAGGTTCCATTCCTGGTCAGGTTGCAGACAGGAGGCAGCTGATTGATGTTTCTGTCTGTCTGTCTGTCTCTCTCCCTCTTTCTCTAAAATCAATGAACATATCCTCGAGTGAAGATTTATAAAAACACAGCTAGGACGCTGCTGGTGAAATGCAATCTAGTACCTGAGATGTTAAAATGTGGGGGGGAAACAGTGTGTCTCAGAACAAACCAAGCACTGAAGTGACCCCTCGGGACGTTCCATGGAGGGAGAGTGGACTGAATTGCTTCTCATGAGAAAATATTGGGTCCCATGGAAAATGAGGCAAAAAGTATCAGAATGAAGGGAAATCAGGGAGGGGGGTTGATCCAGGCACAAAGAAAGACTCCTTTGTTCCCAGCAGGCCATGAAGGTAGGCCTGGGCCATTCCAAAACCATCCTGCTCCCCACACCCTCCCAGACAGAGCAGCTGCCCCCTCAGGTGCCTTCTCCTCGCCACTCACTGTTGTCCCCATGGGCTGTTTGTCTCACTATGCTGTTCCCGTGACCGATCTGGACAGCTTCGGAGTTCTCGATGGAAATGTGGCTGTTCGGTCCGTTCTGACAGATCATGTTGATTGGATTTTGCTGGTAAATGATATTGGTGGCCTGACTTCTTTCCCTAGAATCTTCTGCAAAATAAAACTTCACTCAATCCCTTTGCCCTCTTGGGCAGGGGCCCCAATGCCAGCTTGCCACCCCAAAGTCCCCTGGAAAGCTTGGAGACACAGATTTCCAGGTGCCCACCCCGGAGGTGCTGCGCCTGCAGCATATTTGACAAATGCCACCAGCAACTTGGATGACCCTCCCCTGGACATGGTCACGGCAGGTCGCCCCTACCTGTGTGTCCTCTGCCACCCAGAGAGAATCATGGGACCTCACCGCTCCCCTTGCCTTTGCTCCCCTCCCTTCCAGGCAGCCCCAGGGTGCCCGCCGAGCACCCTCTACCAAAGGCTGCAAGGTGGCCGTCTGCGGGCTGCTTCTGGCCACCAAATAAACTTTGTCTGCCTCACAAGGCAGTTTTAAGAATTTGAATTTGTCAACAGTATTTAAAATCCAGCTGCTGTCACAGGTTATCATTCCAAGGATGCTGAGACCCCCCCCTTGGGGGTCTCAACGAACAGGGGCATCCACCCCACGTGGGCCAGGTGGGCACCAGCCCGGAGCTTCGCCGACTCCACACACGGGGCCGCATTCCCACCTTCATGGGCCCCTTCCGCCATTATTAAAATATTCAGAGTACAGGTTATGGCCACATTGGGATAAAGACATGTGATCTAGGCAAGAGTCATTACAAGCCATTCATTGTTATTGTAATGTTCGTTTTCTCCTTCTAATTTGGAGAGAAATTAGAGAGTTCCTCAGGCCTGTGAAAGTGCCGTGGGCCTCAGGCCCTGAGCCTGCTGCACCTCGTGGATAAGAAGTCCTGAGACTCCACCCTGCGGATATCGGAGCCCCACCTGGTCCCTTCCATGCTTGGCAAAGTGCTTGCGGAAAACCGTGAGCAAACTCAGGCTGAGCCGTGCACCCAGGGTTGATACAGTCAGGAGTGGGCGCCCCCTCCCTCCAGCTCCCTGCCTTCTGCAATTACAGCCTCAGGCCACACCTCCAGGAAGCCCCCCTTGGTTACTCTCCCAGCACGCCCCTCCCTCCAGGAACCTCCTCCCTGTGACTGGTCAGCAACACAACAGAACACCAGCGTAAGCTTCTGGTAAATTCTGAAGATGGGGCAGGCCAAGTGCTTAGCGGAGTGCCCAGCAAGGACCAAGTGCTGGGTGTCAGGGTGTCTCCTCCTCTGCTCTCCGCAGGTGTGGGAAGCAGGTAAGGGCCTACCTGGCTTATAAACTGCCCATGCGTTTGAGTTCTGGTCATAGTTCAGAAAGTGCTTGTTTCGTAGGGCGTACAAGTCTGGGTTGACTTCTTTTGCCGTCTTCAGCCCCAGGGACTGGGCGATGATCAGGGCCCTCGAGGGCCCATTGGCTTCCAGAAACCTGTAGATCTGTTCCTCTGGGAGGGAGGAAGTCAGGTGGTCAGTGAGGAACCACCCCCTTCCCCCAGTTCGAATCTGCTCCACTATTTTCTAGCCATGTGACCCTGGGCAGACCCACCCCCTCTGCGCCCGGCCCCCTGTGAAATGCGCAGAACACTAACGCGCACTGGGGCGGTCCGGGGAATCAGGGACTGCCCACCGGCGCTGGGCGCGCGGTGTGGACCACGTGGGCGCACCGTGAACGCCCCCTATCGATGGGAGAGATCAGCTCTCAGGCAGTTAGCCCTTCCCCTGTGCAGAGGGGGCGTGTGGGGGTCAGAGGACATGGGCCCCCCCATCCCAGCACCTGAAAGGAAACGGGTGCTTACGCCGTTCACTGAGCTGACAGCTGAGTTTCAGTGGAGCTGCAACCGGGGGCTGCTGGGGCTTCTCCGCTGCCGAAAGAAAGAGGGGTGAGACCAGGGAGGAGACAAGGACTCTACCAGACGCAGATGGGCCCCTGGCGTTCCAAGCTCGGATCAAGAGTTCAACAGGCTTGGCTCCAGGTCCTGCCCTGCCTCTTCCCTGCTGCCCCACTTCCCTGGGAAAGGGGGTCGAATACTGCCTCCCACCACCAGGCAAACCCTGGGTGCTGCACCGGCCGGTGGTGCGTGCTCGACCAATGTCAGCTCCTTGGGGGCATTTGCGAGCTGCAGAACTAGAGAAGAGGAGCCAGGGGGATGTTCAGTTCATTCTGTTATCACCACCATCACCTTTGTTATTGTCATTATCATTAGTTCCTGTTATTAGTATTATAGTTTGCTGAGCACCTACTACCTGCTGGCACTAGGCTGAACCCTTGGCCTGTAATCTCACAGCTCTATACAGCAGCCCTGCTGTCACATCCGCTGGCCAGAAAAGGCCATCAGGGCACAAGGAGGGGACATCCTGCAGCTCCGAGGGGCGGAGCCTGTATCCACACCCGGGCCCAGGTCCTGCTGGCCCACCACTGGGCCGCTGGTCTTACATCCCACCCACCCTCCAGGATGGCGGGTTACCACTGCAGGCCGGAGCCAGCTCTGTGCAGACCAGCTCTCCAGTCCCAGGCCCGCCCAGCTGCCATGTGGCAGTGCCAGCGAGGGCCACTCGGGACTCTTCCTTCATCCGGTAGAGAACTTGGTTGAGTTTCTTCTTGGGCACTTGGCATTCCTTCACCAGCTTCGCAGTCTTCACTGGGGATCCGTCCTCCCTCAACACCTGGAGGATCTTCTGCTCGAGGTCTGGGAGAGGAGAGAGGGGCCAGGGGCGGGGACTGAGTGCCGCATGCACGCGGGAGCCTGGGCGGGAGGCTCCCAGAGAGAGGCCTGGGGCAGAGACCCATGCATACACTGCTAACACCTCTGCTCAGTGCGGGGCATGTGGGCTGGTCAGACGTGACCTTGGCTGGACAGCCTGGTGGCCCGAGGAGGTGCCCAGGCCTTTAGTGTGTCCTCTGCCCACTGTGAGTGGCTGGAGGGCAGGTAGATGCTTGGCTGGCAGGTGTCCTCAAAGCAGAGGGGACTGGAGGGGCAGGATGGGGAGGGGGAAGAGCAGTGGGGCAGAGTCTCACCCCGACACTGTCCCAGGAGGCACGCCACTCTGCCCCCAGCTCCCATGGTCTTCCATCCCCCCCCGGGACTCAGCAACCCCATCAGTGAGTGCTGCCCTCGCCCAGACCGGATACCTGACAGGCTACTCAGAAACATCTCTCTCCCGGTGCCCACACATGGCCCCCTGGAAACCCTGTTCTCTCGAGGCCCCTCGCCTCCTCCGCTCCCACCTCCCTGAAGCAGGGTCCCCCACACCCTGCCAGCTGCTCTGCAGGTGCTGTGAGGGTGGCACGGTGCAGACACGGCGCCCCAGCCCCCCACCCCACCCCAGGGAGCCGCCGAGGGCCCAGACGCCCAGCCCATCACCAGAAAATGTCGGCCCCCAAGAACCGCAAGGGAAGTGCTAAGCAGGGCCCTTGGGGAAGTCTGGCCCCTTCCAGGTTGTGGCAGTGCTAGTGGGGGAGGGGACCGTCCTGTTCCGGGCTGGGCAGCTGGGGGTTGCAGCTTGCCTTTGTGGTCACAATGTTTTTGTTGCTGTGGGGTAGGTAAAGTCTGGTTAGAATATCTGGGGGTGCCCACCCCCCCACCCATCAAATTCGGCCCCAAACAGTCACCAGTGCCCAGAAATCCTCATCCAATCGACAACACACTTGGCTTCACCTGGTCTTGAAAAGAGTTTTGATTCTTGAAAAGCCTGCCCCTGGGTGAGCCTCCTCCCCCCACCCTTGTCCACCACCCCAACCGCAAAGGAGACATGAGGTCAGAAGTGTGGAAATGTGGGTTAGGGAAGGCAGAAGGCCGGGGTGGGCGGGGCTGGCCCCAGGGGGGGCGGGGGAGGGCCGAGTCCTCCAGCAATGGGAAGCTGGGAACTGGACGGGTCGGGGTGGGGGTAAGTGATCAGTTGGCAAGGAAAGGAAAACCCACCAGGGAAGCAGTAAAAGTTGGTTGTTAAGTGCCCTTGGGCAGTACCTTCGAGGCCCTCTTTCGGAAGCATGACAGGGACCTGCAAACCCGTCCGAGCCCTGGGCCACACCCTGCCCTCCCCCCTTTCCAGCGCCCTCTCTTTTCCTCTTTTCTGCTCTCTGAGGGCTAGCTTCCTGGCTGCGAGTTCCAGCTCTGCCATCTCCTGGTTGTGTGAACGCCCTGTGCCTCAGTTTCCCCACCTGTGAAGTGAGCGTGTCAGCACCTACTTCGAAGATTGCGGTGAAGATGAAATGAGCTGATGACAATAACAACAACAAGCAACCCCCCGAACAACGTGCGTGCAGCCCCCAGCTGCTGGGAGGACACCTGCGGGGCAGGGTGTGTGGGGGCGGTGGGGGGGTGAGCCAGGAGTGAAGCATCATCAGAGGGAAGAGTGCACAGGGGCGAGTGTGCATGTTAATCAAAGTAACAGCTGCTGTTTCTCCTGATGAGTGTGAAGCTGGGTGCTCTGCCCCGGCGGCGTCCGCCAGAGCCCTGAGTCATTCTACCTCCCCAGCCTTGGTGACCTCCAGTGTGACGTGAAAGCATCGCTGTGCTCCCCGCTGAGGTCACTGTGAAGTTCGAGGTCAGCGTGCTGCCAGGTGCCCTGGGCAGAGCGAGCCTCCTGCACCAGCCCGTGCTCCCCTCCTCTTCCTGGGGGCTGCGTGCACCAGGGTACAGGATACCTTCACTGTAACTGCTGGAATCTGAGCCAAGCACCGGAGCTCCGTCCCCCTGGATTCCCACCCTTCCCTGGAAGGAGGAAAGTACCTGTCTCACCAGGGTCTGCAGATGCCTCGGCCATGCTGCCAGCAGCTGCTGGAGACACCTGGGGCCTCAGGGGTGCGGTGGCCGGCTCCTGCGCTGGGCCGTGGGGAGGGTGGGCCGGGTCGCGGCTGGGTATCCCTGTGTGGCCGAGCCTGGGGCTTCTGGCAGCTGTGACAAGAGACCAGCTTCACCAGGCAGATGTCAGCTGTTCACACCGGAAAGAGAGGCCCAGTGAGCCCGAACTGATCAGCTTAGTAGAGAAAAGGAAAATGAAACTCCTGTGTGTGGTTTCCTAAAGAAACAAAATTGAAAGCAGAATCCATGAGCGAGAGGGAGTGGGGGCCTCTGACGAGACAGATGCTGGTGGAGAAGGGATGAGTAAGGCAAGACCGGAACCGCCTGGGGCTGGGGGTTCCCCGAACCCCCAGGTGTCCCCCGATGCCCACCCTGACACTCCCACAGCAGAGGCTAAGACACCTGGGTGGGTGGACGGGTGCCTGCAGTCGTGTGTGTCTCAAAGTGACAACTGTCTTCAATGAGTGCCTACTAGGTGCTTTCAAATCTCCTGTGACAACCCGCCCCGGCCCCAACTCACCTACAAGTTAGGGACTAGTACTGGCCTCTTTCTTCAAAGGGGACACTGAGGCTCAGGTCAGCGGGCTCACTTGTCCAAAGCTCCAGTTCTTACTCAGTCCCCCCCACCCCCCATTTACTGGCTCTGCGACCTTGGCCAAGTTTTTTAGCTTCCCTGCTTATGCGTCTGCTCATGAAAACAGCCCTCAGTGGGCTGGTGGTGGCGAGGACCAAGGAGATGATCCAGCTGAGCGCTCAGAGTTTCCAGCGTCATCGACAGTCATGAGCACAATTGGGGACCCATGTGTTTCAGGACGAATAAGCCCCGTCACTTTCACAAGTGACTCCCAAGCAATTCAGGGCCACCGCTCTCTCTCTCAGGCAACAGAGGGGAAACTGAGGCCTTCAGGAACGAGGGATTTTGTGTGAGGCAGCGAAGAGAATCTGGACCTCGGCCCAGGACGATCTAGGCTGGAGGCCCCAGCTGCAGGGAGCGTGTCTGCAAAGGTGAGGGCGGAGAACAGCGGTAGCAGCGAGGGAAGAGGGTCCCTCGGCGGCCTGCGAGCAGCTGCCTTTGCAGAGCGAGCAGGAAGAGTCCTGCTGCCCAGTCTGCACCTGGGCCCAGGAAACGGGAATCTCTGGGGCGGGGCCCAGCGTCGCAGGTGATACTGTCTGCAGGGTGCGGCGGTGGGGAGTTGGCCCATTCATCAAAACAAGGAAACCACAGTGGTGTGTGTGTTTCCCTTTTATGTAAAACCGAAGAAACGTGTATCTCTACATGAACGGATGAATTGATTTTAAATGCAGGGTTGTCGCCGGTGTTAGGGAAGATTGTGGAAGCCCCCCCCCCCCCCCCCCCCCAGCCCCCAGTGGGTCCTGAGATGCACCATGCCAGGACTGGCCACCAGGTGGCGCCTGCTCACCAACCTGGGCACCGACCCACCTCTGCCTGGTCCCCCTGATGGAGTGGGGACTGGCCTCTCCCCAGGGAGAGGAGAGTCCATCTGGCCTGACCCCGTGACCTCACTGGCCTCTCCTCAGGCTTCATGGCTCCTTCTCAGATTGACACTTGCCTGCTGCTGACCCAGATGCTTGGCCTGGTTCACTCACAGGTCGGGCTGAGGGACTCAGGCTTCACCCGGAGGGTCAGCCCGGCTTCTGGAAGGACCACGTGTGTCTCAGTGGTGAGGGCTGGCTCCCTCGTGGCCATCCAGGCAGTGTTTGGATGGCCCCTTCCTGTCCCCAGGGTCCCATTCTGCAGCTCCGTGCGGGCTCCCCCTAGCTCTCGGGGAGGTCCCCAGGGGCCTGTGGCAGGAACACCTGCTGGGAAGCTGGAGTGCCCTGCGAGGCATCGCCTTCTTTTCCCAGGCAGGCCCTGCTCTTCCCTAGCTGAGGGTCATGACCTCTTGGAGCCTCAGCTTCTTTAACTCCAAAACAGAGATAATAAAGAAGAAAATGCATCTCTGTATGCTCCTTAGGTGCTCACAAGTTAGAAAATGCACCATGACTCATCTCTACAAGACAACCTTAGGCACTAGGCAGAAGAAGAGAAAGCGAAAGAGAAAGAGAGAAAAACCGATTCGATCTGGGTGGGTCCCACCTGCCCTAGCCTCGCACAGCACGCCTGGAATTCTCAGAAGCCCTGAACCTGTGCAAACATCTCACTGTGCTGAGCGGGGTGCACGCTTTTGAAGACCTGGATTGTCTTTTAGTTCTCTTCTCAATTTAAGAGATTTTCAAGGTCATTGTGACTTTAAGGATTGCCTTTCCCCCAAACGTCAGTGGCTGAACCAATCCAGACACCTCTCTCTTCTTCCTCTAACAGTCTGGGGGACACTCTGGGGTCCGTGTGCCACACCCTGGTGTTGAGACCCAGGCCCCTTCTATCTTGTTTCTCTGCCACTTGTGGCCTCCATTCCAAGGTTGGCCCTGTGTTCTAGGATGGCTGCTTAAGTTCCAGCCATCACATCTGCATTCCTTCCAGCAGGAAGGAGGTCAAGGGAAGAAGGGCCTGTACCTCCCTTTTCAGAACATTACCAACTTGCTCACACATTCCAATGACCTTCCATTTGCCTCATGTTCGGGCAAAGGTGTGAGGGGGTGTGTGTGAAAAAAATAGTCTTTATTCTGAGCTGAAATGCGCCCAGATAAAACTGAGGGTTCTACTACATAAAATATGGGACAACAGCTCTTGAGGGTACTTGGCTGTCCCTTCCATCTCGAGGTTCTGTTGTTCCTCCGAGGAAGGAGTGAAGCTACTTCCTGTGTATGCCTTTAGGTCTGGCACTCGCAGGTCGCATTTATTGATCAGGTCCAAGGCTGAGGTCAAGAGAGGTTTCCACACACTCAGAACCTGCTGCCCAGCATGGAAGGCAAAAGGGGAAAGGAGGGGAGGCAGGGACGTGGGTGCCCCCTTAAATTTCTTTTTGCTTCAGAAAGCACACTCTTTGTTTCATGGCTCGTGTTTTTCTGGAAACTATTAGAACTCTCCGCCCAAACCAGATGATAATGACATGTTACTGATCTAGAGTCTTTAAATTTCTCCCTCGCTCTCTTTTAAAAACAAGATATTTTTACTGCACATGGTGTTGGCAAAACTCAGTCTCCTTCCTCCCAGACAGCCTGGTTGTCATTGTTACATTTGCTCTGTGCATCCGTGGGGGGATGAGAGGAGAAAGGTCAGAGGGGCACCCAATGAGGAGAATAACACATTGACCTTCGTCAAGGACAAAGGTCAGAGAACCGGAGGTGGCCAGAGAGGGACAGGGATTGGACAAGGTCGCAGGAGCTACTGGAGGAGGGAGGGAAACAGACCAAGCCGAGCGGCTGCATCCCAGGCTCTGTCTGCTGCCCGTCTTGGCCGAGTTCAGATGTCTGTGTCCACAAGAGCTACGCGGGCCCGGGGCTCTGGTCTCAGCCCCCCACCTGTTAACTCTGTGCCTGGAGTGGGCCCCCATTTTCCTGAGCCCCCGTTGTGAGCTTGTTGCGAAGGCTGACTGAGATCATGCCCCTGGAGGTGCCAGCAGAGAGTCCTGGGCACATGGCCTGTGCCCCGTAAACAGGAGCTGGTCATTGCAGGGTCTCTAGCTGTCCCTCTCTGAGGTGGCAGAGCAGTCCCACTTATTCAGCTGCTCATTCACCCAGTAACTTCTTGTGCCTTCTTTGTCCCAGGCCACACACAGGGGTCCACTCAGGGAAGGGGGAGCAGGAGAAAGGCCCCCTCATCGTTCCTGGATCTTCCTCCCACTCTGACTGCGGAGGAGGCCACATTGCCCAGCCTGGGATCCGTGGGTACTTCAGGCCCCGTCCTGGGTCCCCCCCAACTCTCGGCCTGACTGGCCAGCAAAGGGGACCTGGGCGGCAGGTGGGACTGAATTAGGCAGCTGAACGTGTCCAGGGACTTGGCCCTGGTAGCAATTTGAGATTATTCCCAGGGGCAAAGGAAGGGCCACTGGAGGATTTTCTCCCAAGGGGAGGCGGGGATTTGGAAAGGTGGCCCTGGGCACCTGAGGACAGTGGCAAGGGAGAGGGGACGTGGCCAGCACCCAGCTGTGCTCTCGCCCTTCCTCCCCCACCAACTCAGTTCGGAAAGCCCTTCCCCACCTCCGAACAGATGTATTGGAGTGAACGCACCTCTCATTTTTATTGTTATAATCCAATGACTTTTTAAAATTATTTTGCTTCCAAAATTATTTGCCTACAAGAAATTCATTCAATTACAATTGGCCACACATTCTTCACCGAGTGTCCAGGAGTCTTGGGAACTCTCTCAAAGCGAGACTGTTTCACCTGCAAATTTGTTTCAAGTATAATTAAGTGCCATGAAATTCTTATGATGACTAAATGGAACAATTAATGAACTTGACACGTTAGGCTTCATAGACCTTTAATTAAACGTATTGATTCCGATTTTACGATTTTTTTCTCCCTGTGTTTCGGAGCTCAAACATTTTTCAAAGGCCTGGGCACAGCTGAGGGGCTAGGACTTGGGGCCCAGGAAGTAAAATGAGTGAAAGGGGGAGACAGCGCCCTAAGAGACAGGAGTCCCTCCAGTTTAGCCTGCAGTGAGTGGGGGTGGAGGGTGAGCGGATCAAATAACCTCAGGCCAGTCCCGGACCCTAGGCTTGGTGGCTTCCGCAGCCCAGGCCTGTGAAGAGCAGGCAAGAGGAGTCTAATTCCAAGAGTTAAAAAAAAAAATCTGCTTTTCAAGTCGCTCGCTCAATCAAGTTAGATGCTTTTAAAGACAAATGTAATTGTTTCGAGCTCAGTGAAAGCCTTTTAATAAGCCGAACATCATGATTTCGGCCCTCTCTCTCAGGGCTACCAGTCAAGGCAGGGGGAGGGCACAGAGGGGAGGGAAGAGCGATGGGGGAGGGCGTGTGAGGGAGGGGGAGGGGGAGGGACAGACGCACCCACACACGCACACGTGTGCACGCACGGGTGGATATTTATTTTAACATTTTACTTGCACACTTAAGCCTATCACTTGTTTCCACATCGCCTGATTGTGAGGCTTTTACAATATTTTGTTTTATTTTTAGAAACAGTTCTTTCTCTTCGGGACAACTGTACAGAGTGTTAGAGAAAACGCGACGCGGGTTTGGCAGGCGCCCGCGCGTTCCGGCTCCCTCGCTGGCTCGCACGTCCTCCCTGCTCCGAACGTGCCGTCTACG